CTGGTGCCTTGTTCTTTGCCAATTCCTTCAATGCACCTTGGACTTCCTCCTTCAGTATCATTGGCTCTTGATCATATGCTACCTCTTGAAATGGTTGAAAATTAAACTTTAATTTTGGTACAGTGACTCTGTATATTCCTTCCATCTTCTCTTGATGATTTCAGTAAGTTTCCCAGAGAATCCTTCAATAACAAAAGTCGAAGCTTGAGTTTTTTCTTCAGTTACCACAGCTTTAGAAATGCTGAGCATGTTCTTCCTTTTTGATTTTCTGATTCCAGATCTTTGCACATTTTGTTGTAGGATTTGGCTTTATATTCTCGAGCTGATCTTTGAAATTTTCTGTTTGTTCAGCTCTTGGACCTCCTCATTTCTCCCATTTTCATTAGCATCTCTGCAGTGGAAAGCAAGTTTCAGTGTCTCTTCTGACACCCATTTTGTCCTTTTCCTTATTTTTTGTCTTCTCAATGACTTTTTGCTTTCTTCATATATGATGTTCTTGATGTCATCCCACAACTCTTCTGGTTTTCGGTCTTTAGTGTTTAATGTATCAAATCTGTTCTTCATATGATCTGTGAATTCAGGTGGGATATATTCAAGGTCATATTTTGGCTCTCGCAGACTTGTTTTCATTTTCTTCAGCTTCAGTGTGAATTTGCATATGAGTAATTGATGGTCTGTTCCACAATCTGCCCCTCGCCTTGTTTTCACTGATGAAATGGAGCTTTCCCATCGTCTCTTTCCACAGATGTAGTCAATTTGATTTCTGTGTGTTCCATCATTTCAAATACCTTCTTTAGACAGCATAAGAGACGACTATACACATAAACTTCACCAGATGGAATATATAGAAGTGTGTTACATTAAGGCTTATTTAATTACCCTAAAATGAATTTTTCTGTTGAAAAGGCAGGATAAACTTTTGGTTCTTACCCTTACCGCTTCTCAAAGTAAAGATGGTAATGAATTTTTTCAGTTCTCCTGGTTTAAAAACTACTATGTGCTTATGGATTTTTAAAAAATTAAATGTATTTCAGTAGTCTGCAGATTTGGTTTTGATTTTCAAATCATCATTACTTAAGCCATTTGAGGGCCGATGTAAAATTGGGTCTCGTCAGTTCATGATTTAAGTCGTGGGAGTGGATAACGTGGCCTGAGTGCAGGGGGACGTGAACACAGCCCAGGTGAGCGCTGTGACCAGCCCCCAGCATCATTGAGAAGCATGTTCTGACCTCAATTTGCAGTTCTGTTTTATTCATTTTGGTTTGGATTTTTTTTTTTCCTCCTCAGAGATCCTATACAGGGTTGCTATGAGTCAGAACCAACTCAATGGCACTTAATAACAGTCTTTTAGACATATTTTCATGTGTGACCAGAAATTATGAATGAGCCCAATATCCTCATTACACTTATTCTGAACCTTCTTTCTCGTACCTATTTTGAATCTGCATTTCATCCTCTCAAAAATAATTTTTTTATCTTAGTTTATACTAAATGTGGCAAGAGTAGTATAAATTATTCTTACAGGATAAGGAGTGAAAGCTAAATATATACCACAAAAATTGCAAGAAATTCTTAGAAAGCTAGGTCCACATCGTCCTTGACAATAGCGTATATTATAGTAAGTGTAGATAATGAGAAGTGTGTTAGCTTTAGGACCATTGTTGACTCATCTCCCCCACCCCCTAAGTGTCTTCTATACACCCAAACCTTCCCTGCCATCAATTATATAAGATGCTGATATGCAGCCTTTTGTGTGTGTGTGTGTGTATACACACACACACACACACACACAAAAGGCTGCATATCAGCATCTTATATAATATATATACATACATACATACATAGACCTTTTTCTCACCAATGCAATTTTTTGGTTTGGGGGTGTTTTGTTTTTTTTAACTGTTGTGAATTATGTGATACTTTACATGGGAGAACATTAGTTTTACATTCATCCTGTCATACATCATTTCATTGCCATGGTTACAATCCCCTCTATGCATCAATGCATCATCAACCAACCACAGGGTATATACCCTGCAAGCCTGCCTTCCCCACCCCCACTCCCCCCACCCCCCCAGTCATCAGCACACAGCCCCTCTCCCTCTCTGGGTCTAGAGTCCCCAGCCTCCATCTCTGGCATCACTGTTTCTCTGGGTAGGGTCCTGCACTCCGCTCTTCTCCCTTGATGGTTCCAAGGACCTCTGCTCCTGGACTGCAAAGTCAGTCACTCCGCTCCTTGCTACAAAACATCTACCTTTACATTTCCAACCCTCACAATCAGTCCTGATAACAATTATTCACTATTGTATCACAAGGAACCTATCCACATCAGCCACGCCCAGACAGATTGGATACTACTCAGTGGATATTATGCCTTCCTCCACGCCCTCTGGATCTAGATTCCTTCTTGAAAGCTTGTAAGCCAGTCACTTCTTGCCTTTGAGTAACCAATGTCCAAGTTGCCCATCCCTATCTACTCTGTATATGGAGGGGTTGGGAAGGATCCTTGCTGTATAAAGATTTGTACCCTCTTTTGAGCTACTGCATCCATAGGTATAGGTCAAGTTCATCAAATTGTATCAGATTATTCTTTTTTACCTCTTCTTTCTTCTAGTTGAACTCTGATTACCCAGTCATTGAAGCCAGGTCAAGTGGGTATTATCTGCAAGTTTGGGTGTTCTTCTTATCAGCTGGATGCTTCACTCTCCACTCTAGTCCTCTATGGCTATGTCACTGACTCTGGGCCCAAGAGTCCCCAGGTCTTGCCACACTGCTGGCCAACCAGCTCTCCACCTGGGTTCATAGGAGTCTATTGAATGTTGTAGGGCTTAGCTCGCAGCTTCATTGCTGTTTTTCCCTCACTTTCCCTTATCGGTGATGAACGTGGTCACCAATCAGAGCGTGTATTCCCATTGAGTTTTAGTCTTGGAAGGGGTTTGCCCTGAGGGGACCCGACCACTTGTCTTGATATCTCCTGGACAAGCAACTTGCTTATTCTTGTAGTAATCAGTCGGTCTGCCTATATTGTTTTGTATTTTTCCTGTCAGTCTATTTTTCAGGAAGTATCTTCTGTTCTTCTAGCCACTCCAGGCTCATCTGCTTGGCCTTTCAAGTGGAAATTTCCCACCTCTGAAGATTCTGGATGTTGTTCGGGTGTCGACCTATGGTTTTATGTAATGCAGAGGCTCCGCAGGAAGCCTCCTTCACTGAGCACCTTGTAGCACCATTTTAGGTATTCCAATCAGTTACAGGCAGAAGACGGACTTACAAGCTTTCTGTAGTGATATTTCTGGCTATTTCTTTCCCTCCCCATCAAGTGTGTATATTTTATAATGGTATGCCAGGGAAACCAAGATTCATAGGACAGCCAAGCATCTTGACGTTATTCCCCCCTTTTCCACATTCCAACCATGTCTCAATCCCTGTATCCCAGAGCCTTGTTGTTCAAAGGTTGTTCATACATCATTATTTTCCTCTGTCCTACTTAGCCCATTGTAGGGCTAATTGTATTGTGTATATGTTGAACAGACATTTTGTACATGTTAAAAATAGGGTATTGCTAGCATAACAGCTTCTAGTGAAGAATGTAAAATCCTAGCCATCTGAATCTTTGTGATTCTAAATATAATTTGATGATAAATATTGAATTATAATGGTAGTTGCTGCAAGGAAATCCAATGCCTTCATCACACCAAGACATGAAAGCCTAAATTCAATTTTCAGTGATCATGCAACTTAAATTTTTTTAAAAGTCACTAAACTGTCTCTTCAAATCCAAAGCAAAGGACAATAATAAATAAAACTGTATTATTTATCATAATAAAACTATGGGCTTTTATTTCTTGAAATGATGCTGTGGGGGGTTTTTTTGTTGTTGTTTTTGTTTTTGTAACTCATGCTTGGGAACTTAATAATGTGTGTCTTGGATATTTTTAGTATCTCATGGAATAATGAGCTCTAAGATATTATTTTTAACATAATTAGCTTATTTTGTCAATAGTTAATAACCACAGGCTGTTTTGACTCCTTAAAGTCACTCTTGGAGGCCCATGATATCGTGGCTTCAAAGTGTTATGACTCACCTCCATCAAGCCCTGAAATGAATAATTCTATCAACAATCAGTTACTACCGGTAGATGCTATTCGGATTCTTGGTATTCACAAAAGAGCTGGAGAGCCATTGGTGAGTAGATAAATCAGTGTCTTCTGAAATCTGACACATTAGTAAGTAACTCAATCAAATACTTTTACCTCATTGGGGTTTTTTTCTTTTGGATAATTTGTATTATTATGAAAACTATGTTTTTTGGTATAAGCACACACCTTATCCTCTTACCTTGATTTAGTATACAAAATTAAACCAAAAATTTTAGGAGTTGAAGTGGAGCAGTTAGCAGTGTGCCAATTAATAGCACAGGTTTCTGAAGATAACTATTCCCTTTCTTTCACTTTTAAGGACGGTTGCTTATACTAAAGACTGTATCCAAAACACCAAAGAAAGTTACAAAAGTTATTTAAAATAGAAGTCATGGTAGGATTCTGTAAGTAGGGAAGTTTACTGTTTTCCTGCTTAAATGGTTATTTCTGAATCCTGACTCTAAGAATTGTAAAACAGGGGTTAAAAGAAGAAGTAAGACCCTCAGAATGTACATGTACCTGTCTTTGCTCCCTTGAGCTTCCTTTAGTTTGCTAGAATGTGGTAGAGACGCTAGTTTCTCAGATTCATTTTTAAGGTTATCCTTGCTATGGAAAAGCCTTTTTTCTGGGGTGGTATTATGCTGTCACAGTTCACTGGGATTGGAAGATTGAAGAGAAGTTAGGAAAGAACCTGGGAAAGGTGGGAGTGATTGACTCACCAACTTCTAGATTTCTTATATATATTCAAGTATTTCCTTCTAATCATCTAAACTGGTAATTTACGCTTTCTGTAGGGTGTAACATTTAGGGTTGAGAATAATGATCTGGTGATTGCCCGAATCCTTCATGGAGGAATGATAGATCGACAAGGTCTGCTTCACGTGGGAGATATTATTAAAGAAGTCAATGGCCATGAGGTTGGAAACAATCCAAAGGAATTACAAGAGTTACTGAAAAATATTAGTGGAAGTGTTACCCTAAAAATTTTACCAAGCTACAGAGATAGTATTACACCTCAACAGGTAATAAAAGTCTTGTGTTTCTTTTATCATGCTTTGGAATGTAGCCACCAGTTGCTGATCATGAATAACGGATTTAATTGTTCTGAGTTGCTTTATTTTGTCATGATTGACTTGTTCAATTTTTAAACAGTAAACAGTATTTTTATATTACTGGAGCATGTTTCTTTGTAAACATTCATGAACCATGGCATTAGAGTAATCTGTCACTAGTTATCAGAAGAAAAAAAAGAACGAGCAAACCTTTTCATCAATTTAGCAAGAACTATTGATACCTGTTATGTTCAGGCCATTGTACTAAGCACTATAAGAGGATAAGAATGTCCTGTGGGTCATCTCTAGCTTAATATGCATTTGATCGGCTAAAAGGGGAGAACAAGCCCGCACTGAAGAGGATCTTGAGCTCCTGGTTTGTACACATTTTACTTGCTTGTAACTAACTTTTAGGTTGAGATGATTGAACAAAGGTAAGCTTTAATGACAGTGGAGCTTTATTAAGAGTCATCTGTCCCCACTACAGTGAATATCAAAAAGAAGAGAGTTCAAAGGGTATAACTAGGTAACAGATTTTTGAAGGTGTGGGATGATGTGTGAAAGACAACCCTCCTGAATGGTTAGGAAGACTGCTTGGGTTCACATATCAATACTGCCTGTGAATGGCTGTTTTACTTCAGTCAGGCTCCTCTACCTCTCCCTGGCTCATTTTTCTCATCTGAATATTTAGGGTCTGTTGTATAGATATGTGTTAAGACAGAGAGAGGGTTTTCAAACCTAGATACTGTAGGAATAGGACATTTCTGTTAGCTTTTTTTTTTTTGGTTTGGTTTTTTTTTTGACTGATGCCTTTAATGTTTAGGTTTATTCTAGGCTTGTGTTATTGGATATGTATGTGAGATTTTGAGTTTTCTTACATAAAATATTACTAGTGTTCCTTATTTTCATATTGTTAATATCAGAATTGAAAAGCCTAGTTTTAAAATTTCTGTATAATCCTTTGGAATAACACTTGGTGAGTGCTTCTTTTATACATTCTTTGGAGGATGAATAGAATATTTAGTCATAAATTTTAACATGTGACTTAGTTTTCTGAATGAAATTTGGTGGAAACTTCTCCTTGTTTTCAAGGAAAAGAATTACAAAAGAAATAACATTACAAATAGTGCTGCATCTCATCTCACTGGTACCTCTCTTGGCCTATTTCTTGGACTACTTCTGTAGTATCTCAATAGATGACATTTCCATTGATATCAACATGAGATTCAAGTTAAGCCTGAGTAGATTGAAAAAAAGTAAGACCTAAGATTTATTTGTTTCATTATTATGTGTTATGATATTCAGGATTCCCCCCGCCCCCGTGGTCTGGACTCTAGAATTCTTACCTCCTCACCATGGACACAATGCATTTTTGTCATATTAATAACTAGGAATATGGCCTAATTCTCTATGTGGATTCAACACCTGGCAAACTTGTTTGAATACAATGAAATGCAAAGATATGTAGCTTGCCTTCAGTTCTCTAGCATAAAATGTTTTTCTTGTCCAATGGCTATTCAAACTCTGGATTTTACTTAGCCTTTTGTAGCTGGAGAGAGGGGGATTAAAGTAGGGGAGAAGAGGAGGTCTTTCAAAGCTGTGGCAATCAGAAGCTTTTCCTAATATAGAAAAAGATCTGAGACACATGGAAATTGAGACATTTTTTAGAGTGAAAGGGGGAATCTATTATTAATTATATTAGAACAGTAGTCATGAGCTAGACGTATTGTCCTTGACAAACCATAGTCATCCTACTGTGAGACGCTATGGGGAAGAAAGGACTTTAGTCTCTTCTGCCATCCTCTTGGAATCATGGTGTGGCACTGTAGGATCAGTACTGGACAGCTAACAACAAGATGAGTGGTTCAAACCTAGTAGTCACTCTTTGGAAACCCTAAATAGAGTCGTTATGAGTCAGAACTTACTCAGCCCCATTTAGCAGCAACTATCCTGTTGTATCCTAGTGGTTATGAATCAGGCTGAGAACCTCAGGGTCAGCATTGAAACTACCAGCCATTCTGCGGGAGAAAGAGGAGGCGTTCTGCTCCCGTAAAGATTTACAGCCTCGGAAACCCTGTATAGGGTCACTATGAGTTGGAATCGACTCCACGGCACATAGCAACAACAACATCCTGTTGTTAAATTTTATCTGAAGAAAAAGTCCAAACCTTGACTTGCGGTACTGAAGGATTTTTTGGACAAAATAATGAATGATGCAGAAAGCATCAAAAGAAGGAAGGAGTACATAGAGTCGCTGTACCAAAAAGAAATGGCCAATGTTGAACCATTTCAAGAGGTAGCATATAATCAAGAGCCAATGATGGTGAAGGAAGAAGCCCAAGGTGCGTTGAAGGCATGGGCAAAGAACAAAGCACTGGGAATAGATGGAATACAAATTGAAATCTTTCAATAAACTGATGAGGCACTGGAGGCACTCATTTATGCCAAGAAATTTGAAAGCCAGCTACCTGGTCAACTGACTGGAAGAGATCCATATTTGTGCCCATTCCAAAAAGAGGCGACCCAACAGAATGTGAAAATCATCCAACACTACCGTTGATATCCCATGCGAGTAAAATTTTACTAAAGGTAATACAGAAACAACTGTAACCATACATTGACAGAACTTCCAGAGGTTCAAGCCGGATCCAGAAGAGGAGGTGGAATGAGGGCTATCATTGTTGATGTTAAATGGATCTTGGCTAAAAGCAGAGAATACCACAAAGATGTTTACCTCTGCTTTATTAACTATGCCAAAACTTTGAATTGTGTGGCTCATGACAAGCTATGAATATTATGAAGTATGAGTATTACAGAACACTTACCCTGTGCTCATGAGGAACCTGTTCAAACAACTGCCTTTTGGTCTATGAACAGAATGAGGGAACACTGAATGATTTTAAATTAGGAAAGGTATGCACCAGGGTTGTATTCTTTCACCATACTTACTCAATTTATATGATGAGCAAATAATCCGAGAAGCTAGAGTATATGAAGTAAAATGTGGCATCAGGATTGGAGGAAGACTCATTAACAACCTGCGATATGCAGATGATAACAGCCTTGCTTGCTGAAAGCAAAGAGGACTTTTAAAATATTTTTTGATGAAGACCAAAGATCACAGCTTTTGGTATGGATTGCATCTCAATGTAAAGAAAACAAAAACCCTCTCCACTGGACCAATAAACAACATCCATATAAATGGAGAAAAGATTGAAGTTGTCAAAGACTTCATTTCGCTTGGATCAATCATCAGCACTCATGGAAGCAGCAGTCAGATCAAGTGGCATATTGCATTAGTCAAATCTGCTGCTGCACAAGACCTCTTTAAAGTGATGAAGAGCTAAGATGTCAGCTTGAGAACTGAAGTGCACCTGACCCAAATCGTGGTATTTTCAGTAGCCTCATATGCACGTGAAAGTTGAACAGTTAATAAAGAAGACCATAGAAGAATTGATGCATTTGAGTTATGATGGTGGAGGAGAATATTACAAGTGCCATGGACTGCCAAAAGAACAAATAGATCTATGTTGGAAGAAGTACAACCAGAGTGCTCCTTGGAAGCCAGATGGCCAGACTTCATCATTCATACTTTGGACATAGTATCAGGAGGGACCAGTCACTGGAGAAGGGTAATCATGTTCAATAAAGTGGAGGGTCACAGAAAAAGAGGAAGACCACCAATGAGACGGGGTTGGCACAGTGGGGGCAGTGATGAGCTCAGGAGTAGCAACAGTTGTGATATTGGTCCAGGACTGGGCAGTGTTTCAATATGTGTGCATAGGATCACTATGACTGGGTCTGACTCTATGGCATCTAACAACAATAGTCCTGTTAAGACTTACAACATATAGTATTCTGGAGACCTATTTTAGTTCTTCTTTTGGATTAATGTGATAGCAGGTGGAAGCCAGGTGCTCTCTGTACCAGGGTGGTGTTTTTGAATGATAGTCAGTAGAGCATCTTTATCAGAATAATTTGAGGTGCTTACTAAAAATGCAAAATCTTTTATTGGACCTAAGGATCTGTATTTTTATATTTGAGAACTAGGACAAGTTAGAAATGATAGTTAAGTCTGAAGCTCTTCAATTTACATGTGGGTTGTGTTCCCAAAAGCTGCTCATAATTTCACTTGTTCCTTTAGGCCCAACTGAGGGGATTTCTCTCTTACTCAATTCTGTAAGGCCACTATGACCCAGATTCCAAAAACATTATAAAAGAAGAAAGTTACAAGTATATTTCACTCAAGAGTATGTTATATAAAAATTTTAAACACAGTTTTAGTTCATCAAATCTAATGGTGTGTAAAAAACATAAAGCAAACATAATATACCATGTCCAAGTTGGATTTAAATCACGAGTCCCAGTGGTACTGTGGGTTAATAACGCTGGATCGCAAAGTTGGTTTGAACTTCAAGGTCGGCAGTTCAAGCTCACCAGCCACTCCTAAGAAACCTGATACAGGGTCGCTTTGAGTCAGAACTGACTCGACAGGGCTTAACAACAACAAAGACAAGGGTGGCCTTATGAGAAAATACAGTGATGGAAGTAACTGCAGTAGATTAAAGTAGAGGAGAACTTCAATAAGCACAGAAGGAGAATTTGATACTATTCAGTACCTGTTCATGATTTTTTTTAAATGGTTGGTAAATTAAGACTAGGAAGGAGCTTCCTTAATCTTACCATAGCAACAAAAGCAAAATTGAAATGTTAAAAGTATTCCCTTTAAAATCAGAAGCCTGGAATCTTAGCAGATCTGTCAGAGACCTCTGGCATGCCAGCCAGCCTCATTTCTTCCTGAGGACCCATTTCACTCCCACAATATGAAAGAACCCAAGGAGCCATCCTAAATCAAGAGACACTTGCCACGCTTCCAGCACAGTTGTGCATTGGTAAAAGGAACTGGCCTGAGATAATAAATGAAGAAGGCTTCCAAAAAGTTCATGGAAACATTTCTTTATTTTTTCATT